TGAAACAACTATTTTTGAATATGTATGAAGTGTATAAGCATAGTAGTAACAACATGGGTGCTACTAGTACTATCAATGAGAGTAGTGGTAGTACTAACAATGAAACCAACTCTTCTTTGGTTTTTGGAGGTCGTAAACGAAAAACCATAATGGAAAAGTGGAAAAAAATTCAACAAAAGAGTGAGAATGTGGTTATAACACATGAAGTGGATAGGTATTTCTTGGATCCACTTGAATCCATTGATGAGGAGTTTGATATACTAGGGTGGTGGAGAATAAATGGGCTCAAGTATCCTACTTCGGCATCAATTGCAAAGGATGTGCTTGCATTCCCTACTTTCACAATAGCTTCGGAGTCATGTTTTAGCACAAGTGGGAGATTGATTGACTCGTTTTGAAGCTCATTGTCTCCTAGGATGGTTAAGGCTTTGATTTGCTCTCAAAATTGGATAAGGTTCGGAGATATATCTTCATTGCAATATGTGTCAAGCATTGAGGAGATGAAGTTCTATGAATCAATTGAAATGGGTAATATTTTCATTTCTATAAGTATATTTGAATCCGATTATTTTCTTATTTTTATGTGTTCTAACTCAAATTGGTTTGATTTATTTTATTATATTTTGTAGAAATGGGGAGTAAAACATCAATGACAAATTTGAATAAGACTCTTCCTTCTTAGTGTGATGAAGATATGTTGGAAGGTATTTTTCTTGCATCTTATTTTAATTATGATTTGTTGATGGTGAAACTTTGTGTTAATTCTTTTAAGTGTTGTGTAGGTTGCTTTGTTAAGGCTTTTGGAAGAATGGATGCAGTAGATTTTTTGCAAGGATATTATCTTTATGTGTATTTTTGTGATGGGTTGTAATCTTTAATTTCATAAGTTTAATTTGGATTGCTTGTTTTATTTGTGTATTATTTTTTGTAATGGTTTGTAAGAGATTATATTTCCTTTCCTTGGTTGGTTGGTTGAATGTGTGAATGTGAGATTCATTTAGTTGTTTAAAAACTTAGATTGGAATTATGGATTTTTATAGGTTGAATTTGCATAATTTCAGGTTTTGAAAGAAAAGTAAAAAGTGATTTGGGCTTGTTCATAAGAACTTATTAGGTTTTGGCAATTTGACAACAAAAAATGGGTTTTGGTTGAAACTAAATATGATTTGGGCTTTTTTGTTGTTGAAAGTAAATATGATTTGGGCTTTTGAAAGTGGTAAAATTGGGCTCAAGCCCAAACCGATCACAATACAGAACCGACTCGAGAACCGAGGCCCTTTGCGGATTGGCCCAATTTGGGGTTTTACCCTAGACCCGACCCAACTCGAGAATTGAGCTCTCCATCGGTTTGGTTCATGGGTCGGCCAAAATTTGAATTGACTCGAACCGTGCCCATGCCTAAATTTATGTGTAGAATTATAGAATAGTTTTTGAAGAGAAAGTCATCGTCGATTGGTTCGGATAATGTTGGTAGTTCGAGTTCAAGAACTTCAAGTTCAAGAAAAAGCAGGTTAGATGAGGTTTTGGCTAATCTTCAAGTAGACCTTGGAATAAGACACGAATGATTGATTATGATTCTAATATAGAGATGAGATCCGAAGAGCATATCTACAAAAATGACCTTGTCAACCTAAATGTCGTAATTTCCCACAAAGTAATATTTCGGTAATTAATAAACAATTCATTCCCAAATGGTTTGATGAATTTGATTGGTTAAAGTATAGTATATCCAAAGATGCTGCATTTTGTCTTTATTGCTATCTTTTTAAGCCTCACTAGTTTGATTAGAAAAATCCATAAGAAACACTAACTAGTTTAATCAAAAAAATTCATAGAAAACACTCACTAGTTTAATATGAAAAATTCATAGGATAAGCCTCACTAGTGAAAATCTCAAACTTGTTTTGAGTATAGTTAATATGGGGTGGGGTTTCAACTTTCAATAATGGGGTGGAGGGAGGAGGATGTAAGTGTGTTTATAAACTAGAAAATATAAATTATTAGGGGTTGATATATCCACACCAATATAACATTGCATTGACTTATGGTCACAGAGAAGAGGATGGAGGCATCTCTCATGGTCAGTGTCTTTGGTGTGTTCTTTAATTGATAGAGTTTTTATTTTAATTAATTTACGTGTAGAATTATATAACGGTTTTTAAAGTGAAAGTCATCGTTGGTTGATTCGGATAATGTTGGTAATTCGGGTTCAAGAAAACGCGAGTTGGATGAGGTTTTGACCAAGTGGGTAGTGAAGTATTCACTGAAGTATGCTTTAAGAATTGGAAGAATGAGAGAGAAAGAATGAAGATGCCTATTGGTCCAATTGGTAGTGCTCATACAAATTTGATGAATCATAATGCACATTTTGAAATGGCCGTGAACAAACACTCCAAGCAAGCTCGTATGGCTTATCGCATATGCTTGAATGCATCAACTAAGTTTTTGTTACAACAAGGTCTTGCTTTTCATGGCCATAATCAAAGTGCCACTTCAAGCAATAAGGGAAATTACTTAGAGCTATTGCAATTCCTTGCAAACAATGATGAGAAAGTTAAGGCCGTTGTGTTGTAAAATGCTCAGGGGAATCTTTAGTTAGTAGCTCCTTGCATTCAAAAAAATCTTATCAATTCATGTGCCCTTGAAACACTTGTTGCTATCATGAGTGAATTAAAAGATAGATTTTTTCCTATATTGGTGGATGAAACACGTGATATTTCTGTAAAAGAGCAAATGGTTATGGTGCTGCATTATGTGGACGACAAAGGGCAAGGAATTGAAAATTTTTTGGGGATTCAACATGTTACCACCACCAGTTCAACTTCACTGAAAGATGCTATTGACATATTCTTTTCCTCCAACAGTTTAAGCTTTTCCAAGCTACGAGGATAAGGTTATGATGGAACTAGCAATATAAGAAGTGAGTTGAATTTCCTTAAAACAAGGATTTTGAGAGAACAACCATGTGCTTATTATGTTCTTTGTTTTGTTCATCAACTTCAACTAACTCTTATTGCTGTGGCAAAGAAAAATAATGGCACTACCTCTTTTTTCATAATAGCTAATAGAATCATTAACCATGTTGGAGCATCTTGTAAGCGACGTGATGCATTTAGAGCGCAACTCCAAGAAGAGTTTGTGATAGCTTTTAAAAATGATTGTCTTATTACATGGCGAGGCTTAAATCAAAAAACAAGTCTCAAACGTGCCGGTGACACACGATGAAACTCACATTACGGCACCTTAATTAGTATCACTTATATGTTTTCATTTGTGGTTAATATGCTTCAAATGATTATTGATGGTTATCCCAATGATAGTGCAAGTGAAGCAAATAAGTTAATGAGAGAAATTCTTACTTTTGATGGTTTGTGTCACTCCCCGGACCCGAGGGTCAGTGGAAATCCTTCGCTCGGTGCGTGAGAAAGTAAAATAAAATAAAAAGAAGCCGAAACATGGGTTTAAAATAAATTTCTCTTACAAATTTCTCTCCCTCTCTTGCTCATTCGCTTACTCTCTCTTCTTACTTTCGTTTTTGTTCTGAGCTGCTTTCTTAAATCATGTTCTCTCTCTGGTATTCTCCATCGACCTCATCTCTTCCAACTCACCAAGCCGTCGAGACTCGCGACGTCCGTAGTCGACCTCCACAATGAAGCTTCTCATTTCGCGTTCTTCAAACTGAGACCTTTCATTTTGGGTTTTCTCCTCCTCTATCCATTGCAACTTGTTCTTCTTTCTATCAAACAAAAGCATATCTTGCTTTTCCATTAACTTCTTTTTTTAAAAAAAATTAATATTGTAGTAGGGTTTTATGTGTAGAACTTTTTCTTTCTTACATTTTCTATCTTGTATCATTTTTAGGATTTGATTTGTCTTAATTGGAACATTACGCCTTGACCTTCATGAAAGTACGAATGCCTCATCCATGTTAGAAACTTCAATATGATGTTTATCACAAAATGAAAATACTTCATCAACCAATACATCAAACTCATTGTTCCTCATGCAATGTAGCTTTTCCTTGCATAATTCACGAAAGCCATCGCATTCACAATTTCTTGATCTTTCTTTTGCAATGCTTGTGACACATTATTTGTGAGTCCCAATATAGCTTTTAATGAGAATAGGTGAAGTCATGAATTTTTTATATTAAAAAATATGAGTTTTTAAATACTAATTTTAAGATATCAAAATTGTTTGGTATTGAACTCCAAACTATTTTTAAGATCTAAAAGAAATTGAAATTAAAATAAGAAAATAAGAAACCCTAGATTCTCAAACTGAAATTAACACAGAGAGAGAGAGAGAGAGAGAGAGAGAGAGAGAGCTATAAAATCTCACCCTTTTTTTTTTGTTTTTAAAATTAGGCATTTTTAAAGTTGTTTTTTAGTTAGGCTTTACCAAACGCGAATTATGGGCTTTAAACTCAAAAATTGTTTTTGAGTTTAAAAAATTGATCGAAGTAAGGTATTAAACATGCCCTAAGATATTCTTACTTAGAGGAAGCATGGAGCTAAATAGTAGTATAGTACAATGTTATTATATGTTATTTAAAATTTTGCTGATTAGAACACAAGATGATCATCATATATTGATCCTATAGCTACAGCTATGGATAGTTCTCCCTCTCTTGTCTCCTACTGTGATTGTAGAAGCCGTAGATTTCCCTGGTATAAGCCAGTTAGCCTAAGTTGCATGCACCATCAAAAGCTATTTGGGCACACTTTCAGACTTGATCTTTCTTCCATCGGAAGGACGGCGGAACCACGTTTCTTTAGCCTAATGCTGATTTTAGAGAATAGGCTTAGTTGTAGAAGCCCAACGTAGATGAATCAAATATTAGCCTACCCCTCTATGTCGAAATACGCCCGGTGCTGATATTCTCAAAGGCATGTTTTGGGTTCGTCCTAAATCTGAAAGGCATATTTTGGGCCTTGTCTCAACATTGCATTATAAGCCCAAACCCATCCCAACAGTAAACCCAAACTCTCTCTCTCTCTCTCTCTCTCTCTCTCTCTCTCTCTCACAGAAAATTCACCATGGCCATGGCTTTGAAGCTCCTGAAGCAACTTCGAGGACCGTCCACCACCACCTCTACAATTCTCTACCGCAATCTTAGACCTCGGTTCTCGAACCTGCGTAGTACCATTAGGCTCTTCTCAGATGCTCCTCTCTCCGAGCCCCTTACCACTCCGCCGCATCAAAACCCTCATTCTCCTTCTCCGTCGTCGTTGAATCAGTACGAGCTCGCTAAGTTCGCCGCCATTGCTGAAACCTGGTGAGAGCTTGCCCTTTTTAATAAAAGAGTTTCAATTTGTGCACTTAAATGTGATTTACCTGTGATTTGAATTATGATTATGAATTTTATGATAAGGAGAAAGAGATTTACTTACGAAATTAAAGATATTGATGATTATAGGTGGGATTCTGAAGGGCCATTCAAACCATTGCATCAGCTGAATCCTACAAGACTTGCTTTCATTCGCTCCACGCTTTGCCGACATTTCGGGTAAATTAAGTTTTTTTTTTCTTCTGTAGTTTTGCATTTAGTAATATCACAAATTGGTAGCTGCCAAGCTATCTTGACAGTAGATTGCTTTGTGTCCTGGTATTGTTTGCTGAAGTGAAACGCTTCAAAATGATCATACTTTACAAACGTATATCAAGATTTGGAATGACAAAGATGCTTCCATCTTCATTGTATTTCGTGTTTCTGATTTTCAGGAGGGATCCGTTATCCCCAAGGCCCTTCGAAGGGCTCAAATTTGTCGATGTTGGCTGTGGTGGTGGAATTGTTTCTGAGGTATGCTATCATTTCTATAGCACCCTTCTATTTTCAGAGTAAAAAAGTTAGGCATTTGTCTAACTGGGCTCAATTTTAATTCATTAAGTAGCCACAACCTGGTGTTGGTTTGGCTGAACATCCTCTGACACTTGGGTCTATACTATGTTTAGCTTAATTGATTGTTTTACCTGAAAAATGTTTTTGGTTAAGAGGTCATGCTAATCTTTAACCTTCTCCAGCCTTTAGCTCGACTGGGAGCTACTGTGACAGGAGTTGATGCTGTCGAGAAAAATATCAAGATAGCACGCCTTCATGCTGTATGTCCACTCTCTTTTTCAATGGCAATTAACTTCAGTTTTTATGTGTACAAGTTTTTGTGCATGTGCGTGTACTTTGTTTCCTTAAGCCTGTTAATATGCTTCTAAACATTAATCATTCACACAGGATTTGGATCCATTGACTTCGACAATTGAATATCGTTGCACAACAGCTGGTACATGCTAAACTTGTTCCTTTTGTATTTTTTTCTTTTTCAAAATTCAAGTACTTGTTGATTTATTAAACTTCAGGCTCGTGTTTTTCCATTTATGCCCAGAAAAGCTAGTTGAGGAACAGAAGAATTTTGATGCTGTGTTTGCTTTAGAGGTATGCTCTCTCTCTCTCTCTCTCTCTCTCTCTCTCTCTCTCTCTCCACATATGTGCATGCGCTCGTGCATACATTTTGATTTTCTCCATGGTGTCTTTAGTCCTGGTTTATATCCAACTTGTTGGTAAATTGATGATTTTACTTAAGGTAATTGAGCACGTAGCAGACCCTGCTGAATTCTGCAAGTCTCTGGCAGCCTTGACTGTTCCTGGTGGAGCTACTGTTATTTCAACTATCAATCGTTCCATGAGAGCATATGCCACTGCCATTGTTGCAGCAGAGTACCTCCTCCACTGGGTATAATTTGTTAATGCCTGCCATTATAAATGCCTTCTTGTTGAACTTGGTCGTGTTTTATGTTGAATTCCTTTCTTAAATAGCAGACCTTTGCTATCTCTAATATTTGTGATTATGTGTTCTTACATGAAGGTGTTATTAGGATATTCTTTTTTGTTGTAAATACACACCCAAATGACTTTAAAAAGAAAACTTTTGCCCATAACATACGCAAGGTTCTGTGCTAGTAGTTGGTGATCTTGATAATTAGGTTATTCTGGCGAACATGATATTGATCCATGTGAATATGGTGTCTTTAGGAGAGCAATATATAATTAAGGGATTTCAAGAATGCCCCATTCTAGATTCATGGGAAAATTCTGAACAAACCTGATATTCTTTTATATGTGAGCATGATTCCTATTTTGTGTCAACTTTCCAATTATATTAAATAGCAAACTTCAAAAAATGTTATCCATGAAACAATGTCAGGTTGTAATGTTTGTGCACTGTCTGGAAAATTATGTCCGAAAGCCATTGAAACATTACGATTGAGAAGGATTCAGGAATCAACTGTTATTCTATCCAGTGTGCCCTAAAGGATTCTCTATGAATGACAAACTCGTTCTTTTCTGTATACTCGAGTATTATGCTTAAGTCTATATTCATTTATAGAATCTTCAGCTGTTGATAACATTTTAACTTTGTTTTACAGCTTCCGAAAGGTACACATCAATGGTCCAGTTTTCTTACTCCTGAAGAGCTAGCTCTAATCCTGGAGCGCGCTTCTATTTCAGTAAGCCAAACACCGAATTTTTGCCGCATGCGTAGCTAGTTTTACCCCTGTATTTGTAGGTAAAGCTTGTTTTCTGTTTGGTTGATTTTGTGCAGGTGCAAGAGATGGCTGGGTTTGTGTACAACCCTTTGACAGGAAGATGGTCTCTATCTGATGATGTTAATGTAAATTTCATCGCTTATGCTACCAAAATAAAAACAGCTAATCTATAAAAACATTTAAAATTTTCCATGTTCTCCCTCTTGTTTGCTGAATGAAAATTTTGCTTATAGTGATTTTTTACTCTCCCCTCTCCATTGTTTTCTAATTTCTAAGTTGATCTGCCTCAACCTAAGTACGAAAGGAAATTCCATTAAACACAAGCATTATCATGTCGATTTTTGCTACGGTCAGTACCTCACGCGTGTGTGGGCAAATTTTGGCGGTTGATGACAATAGAAATTCAATTCGTACGTGGATAACTAACCGTCACAATTCCTATTATATTGAGCAAGGAAAACGAAATTTTGCGTTTGCATATCATTTCTGGTTTCGGCTTGAAGGAAAGAAGTCTAAAGTCTGAATATGGACAGAGCGAGAGTCGAACTTTGAACATATCGAACTTTGGGGACTATTCTTGAGTTGGCCATTTGTTTCTCCTCGCATGGAGTGGAACTCTGAAGGACCTGGCCCCCATTAAAGAATCAAACTAGTAACAAATCATGATCCCAAGGAGAAAGATAATTTTTATTTTTCTAAACTTTTTGAATCAACCAAACACAGCCTAATAATAATATGATCAAAATTTCTTTGGAAAGCAAAAGCGTAAACATAGTGCTACGTCATAATACATTATCCAGCTTCCACTATCCCATTGCTGAGCTTCCCGAGATAAACAGATCGCCGCGTCACTCTGTGTGCGGGGCCCACTTCTGACAGTTCGCGCCACAGCATCGAAGCTCAGAACGAGACTCGTTCACGTCTCAAAATCAACCGTCAACCTTGAGATCAAATCATCACCGTCCATCTCAGAGGCACATTGAGTGGGGCCCTCTTCTCATAATTCGCGCCACAGCAATCCAAGCTTAGAACGAGACTCGTTCACGTCTCAAAATCAACCGTTCAAACCTCGAGATCAAATCTTCACCGTCCATATCAGATTGAACTTGATTGCGAATTACACTAATTGCTTGCCGCAGACGTCGCCCTGCTTTTACCAATCATTTCAGTTTTAAGACCAATTAACTGTTTATTCACAAAACAAGTATATATAAAAGCAGGAAGAAGAAACATTTTTCTTCTTTAGCTGTCTACTACTTCCACCAGCTCCTTTTAACTCTTCTTCTATATTATTTCGCATCTCCTTCTCTCTAACAATTCATCGATCAAGAGCTGAAATCAAATACAGAGAATTAGAGATATAAGATACAGAAATGTCCAGGGTAACAGGATTGCCAGTAACAGCTCGTGGCCGCTTGGCCGTGCTTTCCGCCCACTTAGCCGCTGCAACCATCGAGCCCTCTGAGCTCGAACCCACTCTCGAGCCACTCTGCCTCTCGGCTCAGGGGGTGGTCCCACCACCCGGGAACCTCAGGGGCCCTTTGACCATCGTCGACGAGAGGACCGGTAAGAGGTACCAGGTCCAGGTCTCTGAAGAAGGAACCATCAAAGCCGCTGATCTCAAGAAGGTATTCATCTTTCTAAGTTATTATTGAATTTTCTAATCTGGGTTTGGTTCATTTTCCTTTTTCCCCATCTGGGTATTGTAGTTTTGAAATTTTGCTATTTGCTAGAACATTGTCTGCCTGCTTGTTTTGAAATTGCAATACATGGAAGGAAAGTGAAAACTTTTGTGATGATTTTTGTGTTTTCTGCGAAATTCGATTAACTTGGTGGAAGAAAATTTGGTTCTTGTGAATATACAGATCACAACTGGGAAGAATGACAAGGGGCTAAAGCTATATGATCCTGGATATCTTAACACTGCCCCTGTTCGATCCTCGATTTGTTATATCGATGGCGATGAGGGGATTCTTAGATATAGAGGCTACCCAATTGAGGAACTGGCTGAGCGTAGTACCTTTTTGGAAGTGGCCTATCTCTTGAGTAAGTACTCTCCCTAAGCACTTCATAATATTGGGAATGGTCTTTTATCGTAATTATATGTATTTTAAGAAAGGCTATAAGTTTTCATATTTAACAGGAAGATATGCCGCTAATTGAATATGCATGTAAAGGATTTATGTAACCGAAAATGTTTGTGGATACAATTATTGCAGAAATAAGCTGGTTCCTCGAAACATAATGGTGAATTATTGATTATTAGGTGTAGTAGCTCCATATATTGCTGTAATTTCTCTTCGCCATATCTTCTCTTTCAGTTTCTCTTTCTGAACTACTTTGCTTTGTCACTACCCCTTTTTTGGTCCAGTGTATGGGAATTTGCCTTCTGAAAGTCAATTAGCAGATTGGGAATTCGCCGTTTCTCAGCATTCAGCTGTACCACAGGGAATTTTGGTACACTTTTCTTTCTCTTCTCAGCATTCCGCACGACGCTGATGCAATAAGTATGGTAAACTTTTTTATTGTTAATTTCAGCCTTTTCATTTCTGACACGCCAGTGTCTTTTCTGTTGTAGGATATTATACAGGCAATACCTCATGATGCACATCCAATGGGTGTACTTGTTAGTGCAATGAGTGCGCTTTCCGTGTTTCATCCTGATGCTAATCCTGCTCTCCGAGTAAGCTAGTTTATTTTCATTCGCTCTGTGCACAACATGCATTTTGTGACTGAGTCTTAGTTATCAGAGGCGTCCATTGTTTGAGGCATTCTGTGATATCTGATCATATATTTTATGTTAACATAGGGGCAAGACGTTTACAAGTCGAAACAAGTGAGAGACAAGCAAATAGCACGCATCCTTGGGAAGGTTTGTTTTGTTTTTGGTCTTTATTTGGACTTTCTGCCTTAGAAAATGTGGTGTGAATGTTATCTATGCAACCATTCTTTAGGTTGTGAAACTTATGTAACCTTGGATTTCAATTCTCTCCTTCCTCTTTCAATCGAAACACTCCAAACAGATAGCTCCTGTGTCCCCAGCCTCTATCAGGCGGCTACAGCCCCTACCTTCTACCTCCACAGCCTATAGCTATTGTCTTGCTTTATGTCTCAATCACTCATTTGGAATCTTTCATTTAAGTTGATATTAGATTGTACCTATATTTTCAGGCCCCAACCATTGCAGCAGCAGCTTATTTGAGATTGGCTGGAAGACCTGCCGTTCTCCCTGCTAACAACCTTTCTTATGCAGAGAACTTCTTATACATGCTAGATTCCTTGTATGTTACTTTATTTCCTTGTATGCATTTTACTGCATAACATTGTAAATCATCTTTAGAAATCTTTTTCCCTTTCTTCTGATGCTGTTGCTGTATAAAGTATAAGCACATTATGCCTTTTCGTTTTAATTATCAGTCATATGGAAATTTGAAATTTGGGTCCTCCTCTAATCCAATTAAGAATTTCTTTTTGCAAACTGGCAGAGGCAATAGATCTTACAAACCCAATCCTAGACTGGCTCGAGTGGTAGATGTTCTCTTCATACTGCATGCAGAGCATGAGATGAATTGCTCAACAGCTGCTGCCCGGCATCTGGCATCAAGGTAGGCATCATATAATTCGAGTGAAATGATTTAATGGCATTTTAAAACACGTCTGGTTCTGTATTTGCAGTGGTGTGGATGTTTACACTGCTCTTGCTGGAGCTACTGGAGCCCTCTATGGCCCTCTTCATGGTGGAGCAAATGAGGTATTTGCAAAAGATTATGTTTTCATTTGTATAAGCAGTTTTTTAAATGCTTGTAAGCTAGTATTAGAATTTAAGTTCCTTAAGCACAGCGTTGGAAGATCACTTCTAAGTTGAAATGCATACTTCAGTTTTACTATTCATTATTTTCCTTGTGTTATATTTTGCCACTACAGTTTCTTATTTTTTCTGCCTGGATTATTGCAGGCTGTGCTTAAGATGTTAAATGAGATTGGAACTGTTGAGAACATTCCAGAGTTCATAGAGGGTGTGAAGAACAGGTATTTTGTCTTATATCTAGTAGTTCACCAACTGCCGAAGAGGCTTCATATTGAAACAATTATTTATCATTTGTTTCCGGTTCTTACTTCAGGAAGCGAAAGATGTCAGGTTTTGGGCATCGTGTGTACAAAAACTATGATCCCAGAGCAAAGGTCATAAGGAAATTGGCAGATGAAGTGTTTTCCATTGTTGGAAGGGATCCTCTGATTGAGGTGTATTTCTGATCTCCATGTTAAATGCTCCCCACTCCCAAACAAACTATTGATGTGAAGTAGATATAACTTTTATGTCTGTCTACACTTATCTTATTTCGTTTGCAAGTATCATTGTGGACTTTAATAAATAAACACAACTTGAATTTGATTCAATTATTGAGTTTGAGTGCATTTATCTTATGTCATTTTCAGGTAGCTGTTGCTTTGGAAAAGGCTGCACTGTCTGATGAGTATTTTGTTAAGAGAAAGCTTTATCCAAATGTTGATTTCTACTCTGGGTTAATTTATAGGTACTTTCATTACTTTTCTTTAGACGTGAGATTGTGAAGTTTTCTTCTCCGAGCTTGTAACTACTAAATATGTATTAACTTCATATTAATCAGGGCAATGGGATTTCCGACGGAGTTCTTCCCGGTTTTGTTCGCAATCCCTAGAATGGCTGGGTGGTTGGCACACTGGCGGGAATCCCTTGATGATCCTGATACTAAGATAATGAGACCCCAACAGGTCAGTTCCATTTTCTTGAAATAGTTTGTTTGTGCTGAGCTTTTGGTGTTTCTATGATTCAGTATTATCTCCTAACACTTTTCAATATTAATAGCTAAGAACCTCTTGAATTTCTAAATCCTACTCTGTTATAATATGCGTTTGATGTCCATGTAACAATGTAACAGACACTGCTTGTCATACAACGGCTTGGATTGATATTGTTTGAGTTTATATATGAAGTGTGATCTCTTGGGGTGGATCTTATGAAAAACAAAATACTCGAACATATGTCGGGGGACATCTGATAAGCTTGGAACAGCAATATGCCAAAATGATGCTTGAAACTTTAGAATTAATCTTTGGTAGTATTTAGCTTGCTTTTTGCAATTTTTTTAGATATTCTATTATCCTACTGCGTACTAGATTTATAGTACTTGCTCTCTCTATCTCTGCTCGTTTGTTTCTGTTTCTGTGCAGCGTGCTTTCTCAACCAAATATAAATAGAAGCTGCATTTTTTTTAAAGAGACCAAGCTACATATTTGTTCTTTCTGGGTAGCATAAGTAGGGTTTATGATGGTCTCTCCACTAAGGGTTTACCAGCAGTATCAATAATGTGTTCAGGGAAAAAAGAATATTTTAATCTTTTTTGTTCTGCAAAAAATAAGTTGCTGCTACATTTCGGATCATCCTGTTTCTTAGTTTTGCTAATCTTTGTGACTATTCAGGTGTACACTGGAAACTGGCTGCGGCACTATATACCACCAAGAGAACGGATAGTAACAAGTGATTCAGACAAGCTTTCTCAGGTTTCTGTTTCAAATGCCTCTAGGCGTCGGCTGGCTGGATCTGGAGTTTAGTCCTCATTCAGAAACGTGTGGAATATCACAGGAAACGAAAATAAATTTCATAAGAAACTATAGGGAGAAAGAAGTATCTTTTTGTCTTTCTGCATAAATTATTCCTTCAGCAAAGGCAGAGGAACTGGAGGCTTTTTAGGTTAGGTATTATTTGGTGTTAATAAGAACACTTTGGTGTCTATTCTATGTATTCCGAAATTTCCTGTCACTGTCATCTGGATTGATTTTATTTCTCTTCTTCTTAGCTTATTAGTACCTCCAGTGAATATATGTAGTTCCGTCGTATGTCTTTTTTTTTTTTTTTTGGAAAGCTTCTGTCTTGTGTCTTGTGACCAAGCATTTCACCATTTCGTGTTATGTTATGTATGCGCAAGGAAGTCTCTAATTCAAATTGGAGTTTCTAAATATTAATTCATCCAAATATCAGTATTCATCTAGTGGTGAGATTGATCTTCGTGGTGAAGAGTTTGGGGTTCGTTTGTGATGAAGTATCTAGTCACACCCCAAATTCAAATTATTACTTTTCTTTGAGTAAGGTTAAATACTTTTTTGGTCACTAAATTTTACACGAAAATTCAATTTGGTCACTGAGAAAAATATTTAGTCAAATTGGTCATTAGGACATTTCGTTATTTGTTAAGTGTAGTTTTTATTTTTTTATTTTTTAGGAAGCACATTCATTCTTGTTCCTCTAACTCAACGAGTTAGAATGTATTGTGCTATTATGGGTTAGCAAATTACAGGAAATCTTGGGTTCAAATTAATCGATTGAGGCGTCAATATAACATCCAATACATGACCTTATGGAGCATTTTTGCTCACTACTTTAACCCAATGTGTACACTCACCACCATTCTCAATACTTGATATATGTCTCTAAGTATTACCATAGTTAACTTTTTATTTTTAAATATATTTAAAACAATAAAATAATAAAATAACATTTAATTATTTAAAAACCTCTTTCTCCTTCTTGCTCTACCTTTCTGACCCACCCCCACCCCTAAGGCCATCTCCAAATGGGGAGGGCTATATTTAGCCCCGTGCTACATTTAGCCCTCTAACAAATTATTTTATAAATAATATTGTCAGGCTACATTTCAACCGTCTCTAGCAATAAAGGGCTAATATTTTAATAGTTTTTAATATATTATATTTATTAATTATTTAATTTAATTTAACTAATATACACTATTTAAAATAGACAAATATTTTGATATAGGATTTTTGACATCCACGTGTCGGCACGTGATTAGCCCTATAGATTTCTGATTAGATTTTTTCTCCACGTGGCATATCTTATCATGATGTAATCCTAACAATTTTTTAGATAGGATTTTTGAGAGCCACGTATCGATATGTGATTAGCCCTCCATCTTTATGTAAACAGTAAAAGGAATGAAGATGTTGTGAGAAATTATGTAAGAATGAGGTAAGTATTTATACAAAAAATTTAGGAATTTTTAGAATTTTTTTTAAAAACAAATTCATTAATGGCTAGCTAATGTTAGCTAGCCGTTGGGGTTGCACTAGACCGTTGATGTGCAACGCCAACATAATCAATGGCCAGAAATGGCTCATTTCATCCGGTAAAAAAGAAAAAGCTACTAGGCCCATAAAATTATATAGCCCAGGCTAGCCAAATGGCCAAATATGGCCTGATTTTTAGGAATTGGCTTGATGGATAGCCCTTTTTTTTCTTTTTCTTTTTCTTTTTTCTTTTTTGGTAGCCTTTTGTGTAGCCCACTATTGAAGATGGGTTTTGGTGATTTTGGTCACTTGGAGATGGCCTAAAGCCCTATTCTCTATAGCCACCATTTCCTCTCCCACCGCGTTCATGCTACCTATGTCCAATCAACCACTCAAGATACGAACCCAGGGCCTTTCACCAAAACCCTGTAGGCTGTAGTTTTCTCTTTTTATGATCTTCTATATAAGGCATTCCAGATTCTTGAGTATTGTAAATTGTTTAAAATCAAAGTTCTTTTGCGTTTATGGAGCAAATGACATAAAACATTACAGATTAGAAATTTACACCTTATTGCTAATAAAATCATATAAGCTCCTCATGACATGTTTAGTGACTCTATTTGAATCAACAAATTATTTAGTTAGAGGTTCGATTTCTACCTCTTGTATTCGCACACCCTTCACCATTTCTGCACCTTAGTGGTTTTATTTTTGTTTTTGTTTTTGATTTTGTTTCTGCTAAGGGGAATATAGAAGGAGACAATTTTTGTTTTTGTTTTTTTTTTTAAATGTTATTTTATTATTATTTTACCTTTTTTATTTTTAAATACTTTAAAACATTTAAAAGTAAAGAGTTAACTATGATTATAACTATAGACATGTGTCTGTTGGCATGAGCCATAATTTAGGGATCCCATGATCCCTGATTTCTTGGTGTAATTTATGTTACCTAATTAGAATAGCTACCTAGTTAGGATTTTTTGTAATTAGCTAATTACTCTTCCTTGTAGGAAAAGTCAACTTGTACTTGTATATATATATATATATCCTTCTCTTTGAGAAATATAATATCAATCACAATTATTCAATTCTTAGTTTGAGTTGGTATCAAAGCTGGCTAACCCCGGTCTCTCAAACAAAAATACAAACCCTATCTATCGGCATTCTCTAGCACCAAATACATAACCCAAAAAAAAAAAAGTGCAAAATAGCGCCCAAGTCCTTGTCGTCATAAACCTAGTGCGGCAAAAAACTCCTACAACACCAACTCATCCAAACTTGTTCTCTCTCCTCCATGGCTTTCGAAGTTACCCTAGACAACCCCACCGCAGCCGTAAAATCCAGTGCTTCCGATGCTTCAGAAACCAACAAAAACCTTGACAGGGCACAACCGATTGTTACAGTTCGCAATGATAATTTCACTGCCTCATTCACCATACGGTTGAATGGAAAGAACTATAGCACTTGGTCGAAGATGATATTGCTTCATGTGTCAGACCATGGAAAAAGAGGTTATCTGATAGGGAAGATGGCTCAAGTGGAAGAAAATGCTTCGGGCTTTGATTCTTGGTGTATTGAAGACTCCATTATTAAAGAATTGTTGATAAAAAATATGGAACCTGATTTGGTATAGTTGTTCTTAGATCTACCAACTAAAGATGTTTGGGAGAGTGCATCCCAAATGTATTATGACACGTATAGTGAGTCGCAGATTTATGAATTACAGTGTAAAACAACTCGTATTATTCAAGGAGGTCTCGATATCGCGTCATACTTTGCTGAGTTCAAAAGCGTTTGGTTGGAACTTGACTGTCGTCATCCAATCAACATGAAGTGCCCTGATGATGTGAAGATTTGACAGGCTGAGATCCATAAAGACTGTATTTATGATTTTCTTGCAGGTCTAGATAATGAGTTTGATAAAATTAGAGGAGATTTTTTTAGATTGAGTCCATTGCCCAAACTGAAGGAGTTGTTTGTTTTTGTACGTAAAGAAGCCCAACGCCGGAAGACGATGCTTAAGAAGGATGGAAAAACTAAATCCTCTGTTGTAATGGCTTCCAAAGCCCATGTTGCTAGTTTTTCTTTTCCTCGTCCAACCCTTGAGGAAAAAGAAATCATGCATTACACCTACTATAATGGAACCTGTGATATAGAGGCCACGTGTTTTCACAAGAATGGGTTTCCGAAGTTGTTCCTTGAATGCTAGAAGCAATGTAAGGCGGCATAGGCGAAGAAGAAAAATGGAGGGAGAGGTATATCTATTGTCGTCGTCGCCAGCCAACCTTCTGCCAACGCTACCTTAGGTATCTCAACCTCGCTCACGATAACTAATTCCGTTGATGATTCTCTTACTGTTCTCTCTCAGTTATCTCTTCCATAAACTGATGATTGAGAAGGTAATCATGGCAAAGCTTTGGTGCTTTCTCACCATCGAGATATAGGTTAGATTATCGATTCAGGTGTTATTGATCATATGACCTATGATAAATCTTTTTTTCATTTTATGACTACTCCTACAAAAACAAGTGTGGTTACTGCCAATGGAAAATCTAGCTCAGTCACTGGGGCTGGTTCCATCATTCTTACTCCTACCATCTCTTTACATAAAATTTTACTTGTTCATGCCTTGTCCTATAATTTATTATCTATTGGGCAAGTTACCAAACAATTAGATTGATGCGTGCTCATGTTCGTATTTTAAGTTAAACATGCCCAATCATGTCCTTTAGGGGGGGAGATACAATAAATGAAGCACATAATTGGTTTGAAGTGGAAATAGTAAAAAATAGTGTGATGGAAGACATCAACAGCCGCGAATTGGACAGCGCCTAACCCCTTCTCTCTCGAACATAAGTCCTTTGGATCCCAGTACTTCTCAAAATATTGTTAAATTTGTGAAAAAATTACATGCACGAGCAAATAGGGAAATACCACTAGACAGGTTCTCACCAAAAAGTAAGGTGATATAGAAGAAGAAGTGTACATGGACATGCCACCTAATTATGAGATGTCTAATAACAGTGGGAATGTGTGTAGACTTCGAAAGGCTCTTTATGGATTGAAATAGTCTCTGCGAGCATGATTTGGGAGGTTTATTGACGCAACGAAGAAGTATGGATATCACTAAGGTAACTCAAATCATACCCTATTTATCAAATGTAAGGGTGGTAAAGTTACTTTATTGATAATCTATGTGGATGATATGGTTGTTACTGGTGATGATATCGAGGAAATAGGTAAATTACATGACAGGACCAGCCCCAGATTCCACCATTGGAATCTGTGACGAACCCTGTTTCTGTCTGGCATTTGCCCAATGCCGAGCCCACTTACTAACATAACCTTTTCGCCCCCGATTTAAATAAAAATTGGGTCGAGACTTCAATCGAAATTTCGGCAGAATCTCCCTTGAAAAATGGACATTCTCAAATTACAAATACCTGCAAACAAGCGATAGATAATCCCAAACGGCAACACACACAATGCTAAAGCACACAATTTACAACATAGGCCTCCAGCCTCAAGTTCAACCCTACATAAGCAATATCAGAGCTTTCTACAAAACCTTAGTTTACAGAAGTATTAGGAGTTCAAAAAGAAATAAATGAATATCCTACAAGTAATGGCGTGTATTGTATAGAATACTCGACGTGGACCCGTGAATCTCGTCGAGCTATAGCCTAGAGGGCGCAAAACAAGAAATTGTGAGTGGACAAAAATAAAGTTAATAAAATAAATTATATATGAACATACTAACCATACTGTTTTAGAAAAACTATGTAAACCATGCAATAAAATTCATCTTTATCCAT